AAAAAAAAAAACTAGCCATCACATGTAACATCACTATAATCAGACAGTTTTATGTATAACAGCAAATCATTTTAGACAATTAAAAATGGATATTATTAGATTTATAGCCTGTGTTTACGTTCTTCTGACTACCATGAATTATGTGATGAAGAGACAATGGAAAAATGATTCATTTATATATTGATTTTCCAATCCACACACAATATTGCATATTCACTTGTAATTTTAAGCAGGTTTTTAAAATCACATGTTTTACAGAATTATTGTAGTTCTCAGTTTAAAATATCTTCATTTTCTTCATTCATTTTCCTAAGAAAAAGTACTAAGAACCTAATCTGTTGTGCACTATACCTTCAAATGATTGTTTGCAACAGCATCGTGTAAAGGCAGAATTCCATCTACATTTTCACAATTAACATTAGCACCAGCTTTTAATAACTCTACAATTATATCATTAGACCCCTCATTAGATGCCTCATGAAGTGGTGTCCAACCTAAAGAAAAAAAGAAAAAAAAAGCTCCTCCTTACAAATCAACGTTCATGTAATATTTTTATTACTAAGGTTCTTTTGCATTAATGGAAATAATGTCTACATTGATTGATATGAATATACTAAGTATTTTACAAGAAATAATACTGAAAACTACAGCTTTAAAATGTGTAAGTTCCATTTTTTTTTCAAAACAAATCGATCTCATCACAAATATTTGTTGGTACAAGTGCCAAAATAAAAGACTTCCAGAATGTAAAATATAATAAGACTAGAGTAAACACAAATCATTTCAATTTGTTTCAACTCAGATATTAAAGTACTTGACTTTCATACTTGCATCTTTGCATTGTTATATTTCTCTTTAAAATGACATTTGATTCAATCAATCTTTTAGTTTTCCCTCTGAATTCTTCACACAAGATTCTCTTGTGCTTGAGTGAAATGTCAGAGGATCAATTTTTTAAATAGAGGTTTAGAATAAAAATAAGGGAAGAGGGAAAAAAAGAACAGTATGAAGGGAGGAGGAAAGAGAAGAGACAGGAAAATGGGAAAATTCTGCATTTTCTCTAAGGTTAGAAAATGAAACTAAGGCTTCCAAGGAAAAGGCCCAACTCCCTTTACTTCCCAATCTGTACACCTACTTTGAATGCTCCCAAATAGATGTTAAAAACTGTTTCAAAGGAGAAAGTTATTTTAGCAATGTTAAATCCTACTATTCAACTACATGATAATATATTATAAAACAGATTGCTCAAAGTTAAGTTATATATCAGCCAGAATCAAAATTGGAGGTGGCGGGGAGAAATGTACATTTCAAGGAGTTCAAATTATAAAGACAATTAAATTAAAAGGATCCAAACCTGCATTATCTTTTAGATTCACATCTGCTCCAGATTCTATTAGAGCTTTCACCAGAGATAAATTTCCTTTTCTGGCAGCCAAATGAAGTCGGCTTTCTCCTCTGGCATTCCTCTTCTTGATCCCAGCTGCTTTTATTTCTGTAAATTTGCCAAGTAAAACTGAAGCTTCTTTTCTGCCAAATGCTGATTATTACAAAGGACCTTAGAATATACATACCAACTTCCTCAAAATATCCTAAGCAGGGTGCACTACATATTAATATTAATTAATATCATCACTGCTGTTATTGTTTTAAAGTACAACTTGTGAAGAAATTATAAAGCATCTAAGCACATTACTTTACATTCATTCTAGCAGTTGATTAATCATTCCATCAAACACTTGATTAAAACAAATAAACTTGCTTCAGTTCTACATTCAGCTCACTCTCAGTAGTCCTTTAGCAATCAATAAAATTTTTCTTTTAAAAAAAAGTGATATTATAAAAATCTTCTTCCTAAAGCTATTCTGTATCTCATTGGGTGTGTTCCTGATCACACAAGATGCCAAGTACCAAACTATGGCCAATTGGGTTGTCTATTTGTCAAGCTAGAGCCAGGGTCTGGATCTCTGGTGCTCACAGACTCTTCGAGCCTGTTCACAAACCCTTCACACTCAGGTCTATGAGCTAGGTAACTGGACTAAATGGTCCTTGGAGGCTTGGTTGAAGAAGGAATAGTCTTTATTCAGCACACACACATCTAGGAACTAGGCGGTACAAAGGTGAAACTCAGAGACTCAACCGCTACCCGCAAGGTCCAAAGTAAAACCGAAACTGAGCAGCGGCCAGCAGAGCAAACATGTTCCGTTGTTAACCGCGAGCTCTACCGGCCAGCTCTGCTAACTAACTGAAGCACACACAAAAGCAATTAACTAAAAAGATACACTGGTGCACATGCACACTAACTCTACCCACACACAACTTGTTTACAAGAAATGTCAAGGGAGCCTGACTAAATTATCCTATTTTCCCCACACTACTTTTCTTTCATAAAAAATGCA